AAAAAATGGGGTGCCAGGTCAAAAACATTTCTTTCATTTTTTGGACTTATAATTCAACTTACGGATTTGTCCTTTTGGAACAATGTTTGGAACAACTAGAACAATCTATTGCGGTATCAGAATGTTCGATTTTCGAAAAGTGGGGTGCCAGCTCAAAAAATCATTTTTTTTGTTTTATTCGAAAACTGTTTCGAATGAAGCAATATCACTTTGGAACAATGTGGTACAAAGTCAGAACAATCTGGAACAACTTTCAAAATTATAAATTTCAAAAAGTGGGGTGCCAACTTCATACACTTGTGACGCGATGTCTAAAAATATTGCGGCAAAAGCTCGGAAATTGCTCGGCGTATCGAAGTCAATACTTTTAAATTCATGCGTAAAGCGATGGCCAAGTGAAACTCTGTAAGTAAAAAGAGGAAAACAAAGATCGAGACCAAGGCGATAACGTCTGTTTTCGCAAATTGCCTCATTTGTTTACTTCCCGGACGAGCGTGAACGTGCCTCACTCTCCCGCGGTTAGCAACGAGTCACGATTTTATCGAGGCTGCCTCAGCAACGTCGCAAGCAACAAATGGTCTACGTGCCGAGCTCCGATTTTTCAAGCGAATACCACACTTCAAAAGTTTACACACAAAAAAAGACTTCTTTTTTTTTTTAAGTTCACGTCGTATTGTAGAAACAGCCTTTTCCCACATGAAAAATCTCTCGTTCTACTGATCGCTCCGAAGTAGGAGTAGATCGTTAATTGTCGACAATTCGAGTGTTAATGGACCGTACATTATTCTACACAGAGGCGGCATACATTATTCTACCTGGAAACCGCACGTGACGCCGGCGACCGCAAACCTTCCGTCTCCGATGCACAGCGCCTCCGCGGCCAACATCGCGCCCGTCACAAAGACTTCTTTGGCGGCGAAGAAGCAGGACGGAGCCCTCATCGGCAGTGGACACAATTTCAGCCCTAAGCCATTCGTTAGTATCGAACCGTTAATCCGCTCTCCGAAAGCAACGAAAGAGAGAGAAAAAGAAAAAAAAAAAAAGAAGAAATCTGGCGGCATTATTTATTTCCTTACCGCGGAACGTAATAATTTTCAGCTGAACGGCGACGGTCCAATTAAGTCGATCGTGAACAAACAGTACAACAGCCCGGTAGGAATCTACAGCGAGGAGACGATCGCGGAGACACTGTCCGCTCAGGCCGAGGTCCTTGCCGGAGGTGTCCTTGGGTAAAATCACGAAACCGGATATAGCGGGGGGAGGGAAGAGATAACTGATGAGACGGGACTGAAGACACGCTCCTTAAAGTGACTCTCCGGTCGAAATCGCGCGATTGAATTAAAATCGGCGATCATTGTCAATGCATGTGGGAGAGGCTTCTATGTTAAGCACTGAAACTTAATCTATAATGTGCTCCTTTGCTCTTTGTTTCTTTCTCTTTATCTCTTTCTCAAGCCTTAAGCCTGATCTACAATATGCTCTTTGCGTTCTGTTTCTTGTCTTCTGTCTTTTTCTGGTTTAAAGCTTAAAGTTTGAGTCAGAAAAAGATAAAGAGAAAGAAGCAAAAAGCATATTGTAGATCAGGCTTAAAGCCGGATCGCTCTTTGCTTCCTGCTTCTTTTTCTTTATCTCTTTCTGACTCAAACCTTAAGCTTTAAGTCAGAAAAAGACAGAAGACAAGAAACAGAATACAAAGAGCATATTGTAGATCAGGCTTAAGCCAGAAAAAGGCAAAGAACAAGAAAGAAAAGAGCACATGGTAAATTAAGCTTAAAGCTCGATTTATAAGGTGTTCTTTGCTTCCTGTTTCTTCCTCTTTATCTTTTTCTTATTTAAAGCTTTAATTAGAGCCTTATTTAGAGCCTTTAATTAAGAAAAGATGAAGAATAAGAAGTAGGAAGCAAAGAGCATATTGTAGATCATGCTTAAGTGTCTATATTCCGTGTCTTACGAGTGATCATTGTTCATTCACAATGAACCGACTACCGACGTAACCACGATCTTGATTCGCGTCTATCCTATTCCCTCTAATTTCTTATGAGAAAGGAATAATATTAACAAAGGAACAATATTAACAAAGGAACAATTTTAATAATATTTACTTTTCTGTATGGGCCTCAGTTTGCCCATCAGAAGGCGTCAAAGTTAGAAAGAAACGTTTCCTTCTAACCTATATTGTGAGCAATAGGTTAAATGAAAAATTTTATCGAGTAAAATATATTAGCGTATTCGACTGCATCTGAGTTAATCAATCCTTGATTATTAAATCCAAGTTCATTGGTCGAACATTTTTGTATAAATTTTGTGATTGGCTAGTAGAGTCTTGTGACGTCGCCAATCGATGCCGAGTCGATTAACTCAAGTTCAGTTGAATACGCTATATGTAAAAGCATTCCGGTCATGTCGGTAGTGTTCATTGTCAGACGTGTGGAGAAGACCATCATTGATCTTGTCAATATATATTAATATGAATAATCGTAATGCCTTATCAATATATTAACTATGTATGTGTAATATACTGTCTCGACGAGCGCGAGGAATATTAGCTTATGTCGCGAATGTTGCAGGGTGAATTTCAAGAAGAATGAGAAGAATTACAATTCTGAGAACAGCGAGGTTTTCAAAATGGTCCAAGAAGCGGACAAGGAACCAAAGACTCCAGAGCCTGGTTAGTAAAATTTACTTTACTTTTTGACGACACTTCATTTCCCTGTCTCCTAAAGAGTTAAGAATAATATATGCCGTTTTTTGTTTCTACTATGTAAAAATGTGCAACGTGTAAACGTATGAGATCACTGAAGAGCGTATACCGCGTATACTTCATTCCTGTTTACTTTTGTGCATTTTTTATGTCCATGTACCGAGACTTATATTCTATTCCTTTACAACAGTAATGAACAGTGCTGTAAAACACCAAAAATTTTCAATTATCCCGATGACTTAAAATATATAAGCTCAGATAGATCTGTATACCCCAAGTGATCTGGATAACTGAAAGAGATTGAAAACCTTTACTTCTCATTTGACACTGATTAAATAATTTATATTCTTGTAATTTCATTGATTTACGCAATCCCGACCCGATTTTCTTTCTTATGATTATTTCCGAGTAACCCCGTAGCGTCGTTCTCACACACACACACACACACACACACACACGTTTAACATTCGCGCGCGTGCAAAAATTAGAGAAGTAAGGCGCGAAGTTGCGGAATCCCGGCGTGTTAAGGAATTCAACCACAACTACCCGGGCGGGAGCCGTTTTTTGTCTATATCGTTGCGGTCTTCGGTGATCGATCGGCTGGACCGTGAGGCATCAGCCGACCTGTTGCACGTCGATACGATAACTTGTTTGCGAAATAGCGGAGCCCATTTCGGCGAGCGGCGTGATAACGCCGTCCTCGCCCGCCCTGGCAGGACTGAGGCCGGTCCAGGCGCCAGAAACGAAACCGCAGCAGCAGCCGTCGACGCCGCAAGCGAACCTGCCACCAGGACAGAACATCTGTGCCGAATGCGAGAGGCTCATCGTGTAAGTGAAGTCGCGGCACACGCGGCTCTGGATTTTTCAGCGGATAGGCAGGCGGATAGGCGAGGCGAGAAGACGGCAGTCACGATTGCGTTCCACGACGACACGGCGCTTACCCGCCACGTCGCGCGGATTTCCGCTTCTCGGATTGGGGCCAGCTCGATGTCTCGACGGCACGTAGCTTTCAGCGAAATTCACCTATATATTGTCTTGACTCGGGATTAAATACTTCTCGATAGTCTCACCGTGATTCATATCTTATAGAAAAATCATTCGATATTTTCCACTCGTTTTTTCGTATACGCACGAAAAGAGTTTGGTTGAATTTACCAAATTTCTCGGTGAAATATGAACGAACCAGAGATCCCGGTCGAAGTTACCAAGATTCTGTTCAAGTCAACAAGATTTCCGGCCACCCTTTGTCCGGTTATGACATCAGGCCATTTTTATACAACCACGCACAGGAAGATATTTTACTGCTAATATTTTGCAAAATAGGAGTAATAAAAAATCGAGTTTAATTCTTTCATTAAAAAATTCAAGCTTGTAAAATAAATTAACTGATACGGACAATTGTGATAAAAATTTACTTGAATATATATACTTCTGTGCGGACAGTTTTGTTAACCTTTTACCATTAACCAAGTTCTGTGGTTCAAATTTCCACGTCAGACTGTTGATCTATATATATATTTTTCAAATTTTTTTCAATTCAACTGTGTTGAAATTGCGACTTTGTACAACAGAATCTGCGTAACCCGAAGACTGGTTTCTACTCGGTTTTTTCTAGTGTAATTATATATTGAGGAAGAAATACTCTAAAACTTATTTGTGCACGGAAAAAAAGATTTGGTTGAATTAACCAAATATCTGGTCGAATATGAACGATTCAGAAATTCCGATTAAAGTAACCCGAATTTTGTTTAAATTAACAAGATTTTTGATAAACTAACCAGACCTGTTTGATTAGTCTACTAAAAATCTTCTTAACTTAAACAGAATTCGGGTTACTTTAATTGGAATTTCTGGATCGTTCATATTCGACCAGATATTTGGTTAATTCAACCAAATCTTTTTTTTTCCGTGTGGCATATAAAATTTATTTTTGTGAAATAACTTTTATGTTTCACAGATAAATTTTTAAGTATTTTTCTTTAGTATATCGGCTAATAGTTTATTTACTCCCTTCTTCACTTTGGCTATCTGGGTTTTCTTCCCTCCCCACCGGCTCTAATAAGCGCCCTTTAATCTGAGAAGCCGGAGATCCGCGCGCGCTTATATCGGCGGACACGATTTTGCCGAAGAGATATCGCTTCATCGAGCGGTCACGTCCGACACATTCCCCGGTGCTGCCGTTGTCATGGCGCTTTTTTCTCTTACTTCCATGTCGTAGTTCCTTCAAGGACAGAGTTTTACTCCTCGGTGAGCCACGCGATTGGCGGAAGGGCCACTTCGCCGAGGTCACCCACGCCTCTGTTTCAAGCTATGGCCGGTGGTGGTGGTGTTGGTGCACCTGCCGGTAGCACGCTGGCCACGTTGAATTCCGACGTGTCGAAGCATCAGGAACCACAGGAAAGGCAGGACTCTGCTGCCGCGGGGTCGTCGACGCCGGGCGGGGTCGTTTGTAGCAACTGCGACCATATGATCGTGTAACTATTTACGAGAAAGACCCCCACCCTTGCACGGAGACGGCCACGGCACGGCATTCATTTTGGCGGCTTCGGGGTTCCCGTTCGCATATTGAGAACAACACGACACGACTTTGAGACACGCTCAGTCGGCCAAACTTGTCTGTACATCTCCGACTATTTATTCAAGTTTCTATCGACCCTAGTTTGGCTCTCACGAGTCAAACTGACCAAAGCGAAAGGTCAAGATACCATAGTTGTTGAGTCTGGGGTATCTTTACGCATATTTAAACATAGAATTCTTTTTTTAAAGCATGCAGAACTTTTTACTTCTTTCTGCGTAAAATCAATCTTCTCTCACATAGGATGTTCCACATTGAAATAACTGATAGTAGAAGCCAGAACGAGACAAAAAGTCTTTAGTCATTTTTTAACGAGTTATTTATTAATTAAGTTTGATACTCGGCGCGCTGTAATTGTGTAGCTGCCCTTTCCACAAATCAGAATAGCGAAGATAGTCTGAGAGATCAGAATCTTCGCATTTTTCAGCGCGCTACACTACCTGGCTCCGCCAATAGAGGCGCGCTAAGCACCAAACTTACCCAAGTAGAAACATCTCAAAGAAGAATTGATTATTGGCCAGTAACTAGACAGTTTTTACTGGCTAGGATTAATTAGACAGTTACTGTTTTGAAACTTGGCAGAAAATACTGGCTATTTTTTCATGGCCAATTACTAATCAGAAACTGCTAATAAACAAGTTAGATATTGATCAAAATCTAGTTAAAAACTGATCTGAAACTGTCTAGTTCAACTGTCAAGTTTTTGACGTGAGCGTCGACCAAACCAGTCAGTTTTTAGCCAAGAAAACTGACTAAAAACTAGCTAGTTACCAAAAATTCCTGGTCAGTTACTGGTCAAAAACTGAATAAATTTCTACTCGGGTAATTAATTGATAATTCGTTAACTATTACTTACATTAAAAAATGACAAAGTACTTTTTGTTTCCGTTTGACTTCTACTATTTGCCATTTCAATATTTGGCAGTTTTAGTACGGACTATCCTATATGCCTTATCTATTTTTTAAAATAAACCTCTGGAGATAAATTTTTCAAATTTGTGCCATCAAAGAGTTGATACAAACGGCGTGCAAATACACGGAGATCGTTGTTCACGCTCTTCTTCTGAGTCGTGGAGCTAAATGAATATTTGCGCGATTGCGATTGTCAAGTTGTAGAATTGTTTAGCAAATCAAGAATAATTAGGATTTAACGAGTAACAAAGTTGCGAGTAAGGAGATATTTTTACAAGAGTTTTACAAGAGCACATTTTCTCAGATCAACGTTTCAGACATTAATTACACGCAACACGGTACAGATTATAATTCAATGTGTGCAATTTACGATCCTGTTGTTCTCAATTGGTGAATTATACGCCTCGTACGATCGCCAAAGGTTTCCAAAAACGACGCCGTTCTGAATTGCTCGATTGTCGTACGCTGGTATCATCTTGAAGACTCCGTTTCGAAGACAAGCGTGCACGTCACTTAATCGGAATATTCAAATCGTACGAAATTATTCGTGCACATCGGCCGCATTATCGGCAAGGAAAAGCGATAAAGCCGACATACTGCGGTACGAGAAGTAAGAACTGGTAAAATAAAATAACACAATGCGAAGCGAAATGAAGCTACGAATAAGTGTGGCGTGAACTTTCGGCAATTGTGACAATCAGAAAAAATCAGATTACGCGCAGTGCACGCTTATCCTTTCGATGGACTCGGACGGAGCACGCCTTTCTCTGTCGCCTCTTTCTCGTCAACATCGTTTCCTCAGGAACAAACTCCTGGATTCTCGTTGTGCATTTTCTCGCTGTTGTCTATGGACTAGTTGATCATTTGTGATCATCGTAGCTTGTAGCTTACAACCAACTGGAAGCCCTATTCGAGCGAGACAAAACGTTTTTTTCCGTTCGCTCGCTCGCTTGCAGCTCGTAGCTTGAGCACTAGCCTTATCTAAGTGTCTCTTTACTTTCTGAACTCTTAATAGCACCCTTCCAACGCATTTACAGCACACTGAATGACAGTAACGTGACAAGCGCTTTTGATGTTGTGGATGAATATTTTTGTGGAATTTTTTTCTTTTTTAATTTTTCTTTTTATTTTTATGAAAAACCATGTTTTTTCTGACAATATCATTTTCCCTGTTTCTTGTAACAGTCGGTCGGTCTGGACGGGGCGAACATGATTTTTTGCGCGATAAACACGTCGATATCTAACGTTGCACTCTGACAAATACTGTTTTTTTTTTTTTTTTTTCAGAAATACAGCAATTTCATTTTTCTTTTTCACAAGTTTCGCAGAGATTGCATTGGAGCATGCTTGTTTCTTTTTTTCGAAGAACAGAGCTGATTTGCAATCTCGAACAATTTTAGAACACTACAAGGAACTACTGCTCTACACACTGCATTGTGAACGTTACAATTATACGGTACAACTCACATTGTGTTAGCCACCTGGTTTGAGTCTCAGTCATAAAACCGTCAAAAGTACTTTTGACAAAGTTGTTTTTTCCCGTGAGAAAGACTCACTTCGCTACCGGAGATTAATGTTATAAACACATCCCACGTAGCTTTACCCGTGTCTCATCGCTCTCTCATTCGTCGGATATAATTCTCATGGAGATCATAATACGAAATAATAGTTACTCCCGGCCTCCTTCGTCGAGGTGTCGAGTTACCTATCTCTCTCTCTCTCTCTGTCTCTCTCTTCTCTGTGCGCGAGTGAATAAAGCACAGCTGAAAACTCGTGGCACATCCGATGCGACGTCATCATCTCGCCTTTACTGTTACGTTTCAAAGAAAGTTAATTATCGCGCCTCAGGTGGAGAACACGATCGTGTTGTTAACATCTGTCTGTCTTCCCGCAGAGGTGTGTTCGTCAGGATCAAGGACAAGAACCTGCACGTGGAGTGCTTCAAGTGCTCGACTTGCGGCACGTCCCTGAAGAACGTCGGTTATTACAATATCAACAATAAGCTGTACTGCGACATTCACGCGAAACTCGTCGCCAGGCAAAACGCACCGGCTGGTCTCGTACCAATCACTATTCCATCGTAAGTACCGCTGTAATCATTATCGATGTAATACGATGTAATACACAGAAAGAATATACATCATAGCTCTTTCCATATGAAGTTCTTTTCGGTTTTACTATATTTTCTTATGATACAAGATTGTTGTTAAATAGTTTATTTTACCAAGGAACGTAGTAATCTTTTTTTAACAGCCGACTTTGGTTATTAAAATGATTTTTAACAAGATAGAAGAGCAAGTGCCAATGATCGAAGTAAGGATAAATTTTTCGAATTTGTTGAGCCTGCTGTGGTATGAATTTTTGTCGGATATAAAAATTCATCGGTATTTTGATCGGAAATTTCTTATCGAATAATTTGTCTCAGTATATATATTTCTTTCCACGCGGACCTCCCTCTCGCGTGTTTCTCTCGATAATCCTGAATTGGCGGAGTCAACGATAACAAGATAACAAGATGTCCTTTACGATTCGACAGAGGTGGCAAAGCACCGGCTGGCACCATTTCCGCGGCACTGGCAAGTGTGGGTGCACCTTTATCGCCGCCCCTTAGCAATCACGGATCGTCGCCTCAGCCATTCTCCGTAAGTTGCTTCATCATAATTCGATTCTCTTTATGAGGCATGGTACGGCAGTATGGTACTTTTTTTCGCGCACACGCATTTTCTTGCCTGTTTTGGTATGGCTTATAAAGCGAGTATTTTGCATTGAGTGTGGCTTTGCTGCATTCGCGCGCGATTTCACGGCACTTCTTACGATCGCGAGTCGGACGAAGGTCGCGGCGAAATTTCTCGCATTAACAATTCCTTTCTTTAAGTCACACCGAGGGTACGACAGACGCGTGACGCGACGGCGTACACTCTAAAGACAGCTTCGTCGAATTCATCGCGAAGCCGATGACCCGCGACAAATTGAAGAACTGTCGCTCACGAGCTCGAGTATTTTACTATATCAAAGAAAGTAAAGAAAGAAACGGCAGACAAGAGCCAACTTCTGTCTGTTATTTGCTTTGTCGCAGAAAGTAAAGAAAGAAACGACAAGTAAGAATCAGAAATTGGCTCTTGTTTGCCGTTTCTTTCTTTACTTTCCATGACGAGGCAAATAAGAGCTAAAAATTTCTTTACTTTCTACGAAAATGCCAATAGAAGCCAAAAATTGGCTTTTACTTACCGTCTCCTTCCTTTGGTTGTATACTTCAAGAGCCTTAATTTCTAGCTGTCTTACTATATTCTTAACATTATTCGGTGGAACTATTCAATTAAAAAATAAAAGTAATACCAACGTATTTTACACCATTTAATCTCATGAGAGAGAAGCTTTCTTTTGTTTCTTCTTAAACGCCAACTTGATTTCTCGACGGTGAGACGCGCGCTTATTCTGACAAGTTAACAAGTGTGGCCCTCGCTTGGCAACTAATCGCTTTTCCAGGCGTGCAATCGTACCAGCCCCGATTCTGGATCCCAGCCCATCCGGCGACCGACCACGAATACAAACGGATACATCCGGAACGGCGAATGCAACGGGGAATCGAAAACGTTCACGAGCACGATCACCATCCAAACAGGTGGCACAGAGGTTGGCAATGTGCTCGGAATCTTGATCTCTCTAACGTATCCGCGCTAACGCGGCTTAAAGCACTACCAGCGCGCGCCTTTCCTCGCGATTTCCCTAATACGTGAAACGTCCGACACGCGTGACAATGCAAAGTCGAATGTACGCGTATTGTCCCGAAAAATCTAACTTTCGAGATTTAGAAAGAATAGTTGTGGGACAATTCCTCGGAATGACGTAATCTCGAAATCCGACTAGAAACCCTATAGTAAGAGTCTTGTCTTGTCTTGTATTCTATTGGTGTCGACAAAATATGGCGGAACCAGGTGTTCGGAAATTATATTGGATGCGCGGTATTATTCAACTAGTAAGAATAGAAGAATTGATTAAAATAAGAAAACAAATTTGATTTTAACAGTTTTATTTACATAAAAATGCAATACAAAATAATATAATGTCATTTAATAGTAGAATGCATCGCCATAGTTTTACTACTGAAAATTTTATTTTTTAATCGCCCTTTCTTGCAATCAATTTTTATGCGAAATCGAAATATCATCGAAAAACCTTTCTCCGTACTATTAAAACAATTAGGTACGCAGCAGCCAGGCATTTTCTACAAAATTGTATGCAACTTGTAAATATAAAATACAGTATTAAAGGTTAGGAATTGATTTTTATAACAGCATGCATTTATAATACTTTTTTTCTATATATTTTACTTCATTACAATATTATATTATAAATTACCTGTTTTACTTGTTTGATATTTTATTATTTAATATAAGATTCACAAGATTTTTTTTCTTTGGATCACATCTATCTATGTCATATCATCACTGTTTTTGTTTTACGACGCCATGTTTTGTCGAACTAGAAAGACTGTCCAGACTCTTACTATAGGGTCTCTAAATCCGACGATATCAAGACGACCTCTTAAAACACTTTCCCGAAATATCGGAAGCATGCCAAAAGTTATAACACCAGAATTCAAAAATTCAGTAAAATTCAAAAATATTTCATATTATATTTTTCAGAAATTTTCAACATTTGAAACTTTCGAAGGCAATTTACTTAAAAAAGAATTCTTTTATTTCATATTTTTTAACTATTTACTAAGAGTTTGTTTTTGAAGACGATTAAAAATAAAAGTTTCGTCTTGTGTCTCTGGATGTTCCCGAATTTTCAAGAAAATCCCGAATTACCTAATTACCAGATCGTAATATTCTAGATAGAATCATGCCAACAGATCGTGAAGAATACTCAGTCGTTTTTTGCAAAAGTCAATTACTAATTACTCTTCTCATAACAAAATACATCCGTCCTTTCTCTGGTTTAGTCATCTGCGATCTGAGTGCATTCGGACGCACAGTTTCACGCCGCGAGTGGCCCTTTACCCCGCACAGCCAAACCCATCAAAACAACAATCACTGATTTTATGGTTTAATTTACCACAACAGAATCACGCTGTTCTCTCCTTTTGTCTGCCGGCTGACGACTTTGCTTTTCTCGAGATGAAGTTTACCGTAGTCCCTCTGCCACGGCCGTATGTCTCGCGCCCCCTGACCGCGATATCTTGTTGTGACACCTCCGTCACCGTGCTGATCTCGATCGCCTTCTCCAGGGTCAGGTTCAGTTCCGCTCTTTTTTATGCGTTCACTACATAATCGCCAGACTAATTGGTCTTATAGACCATTGTCCAGATCTGCTCCGAATTCACTGTGTAGCGAAGTCCGTTTGAGGTTAGCAAGACATCTACTAACGCTCTCGCCAGACCTTTGTTTGCATTCTTTAAATTTGTAGCGTTAAGTGAAGGTACTGAGTTTCGGCTTCAAGTGCTTCTTGATCATCAAGCTCGTCCAAGATTTCATTCTTTCATCGGCGCACATAAGTTGCGCAACAAGTCAGTCGCCTTCCGTCGATTCTCATTATGAATAACGAAACAGCATCTCTTTCTGCCAGACATTTGTCGCTATAAACTTCTGAAACTGCTCGAACAACTCGAGCAATCGTGAAGAATACTCTCAGTCGCTTTGCAGAACTCAATACTAACTACTTTTATTGTAATAAGATGCGATCTTAGAGCGCAGTCTCACGCCACTGTGCCTCGACTAATTAAAAAACAAACAAACAAACATACTAGACAAACTGAGAATCTCCTTCTTTTGAAGTCGATTAAAAATACAACTCTTCTCCAGAATAATAACGACAATATAATGATTCTCCGAACAATTATAACAATTATAACGATTCAACAACAACATAATAATTGCTCAGCACATTGTCCCATTGCCCTGATTTCGGTGTTGTAAGTTTTCGAGACTATTGCATGCTTCAGATATCTCGGGAAAGTTGTGTTTAAGGAGATCTCGTCTCGCTATTTAAATTTCAGGATCATAACCTTTCGGGGAACTGCCGCACTTCTCGGCTCATTTTTTTCCGGAACAATGCGCGAAACCGACGAGATCGGCATAGAACATTACAGACGCGTTGTCTTGCATGTACTGGGTGGTACACACGAGCAAAAGGTAAAACGTAGTCACCGATGAGTGTTCGTTAACAGCTGACACGCGGCGCAAGGATCGTGCGAGAGTCATCGCAGCTGAATCAGGCGTGAATTTCGCAACCGGTTAATCAGCTCGCCGTCATTCCACCGTGGTGTCCTTGTGATCGTCAGCTTCCTCGTCGGCTCTAGGTCGACCACCCAGTTATGTTGATCCTCCTCAATCTCTCGCGACCGATTATTTCGATCCGATGACTAATTGGCTCCTGTCGTAATCAGAAGCGTTCCCGTCGATTTTTGCACCCCCTCTTGCCGCCCTCGCACCTTCCCGCTCGTTTCAATTGCCGAGCCACGTGATCACGTTGTGTCGTTTTGTGCATTGCAGCCCACCCGCCTTGGCACCTCGCCCGTCGATTCGCCCAGCTTGCGATCAGTCCAGGTAAAGTCCCAGTACCATTCGTGACGCTCGTCGATCTCTCCTCTCGTCGATCGCCCGCTGAAATCGTCAGTATCGCGCGCGCGCGCGCGCTGCGAGACGTCGTTTTCTTGCCCTGCCTTGCCTTGACGCGGCGCAACGCGAAATTAATTCGGCAGACAGTCGACGGAAATGTGAATTGAGACGCCGTAAACTGTAAAGCGAGACGCCTCGCTTGTGCACTCGTAAAGTCGTTAAGTCCGCGTGATGTATCAATTTGAGCTGGTCCTTGGGATAACGAGACAACGATAAGCCGCGAAGTGATACCTCGACTGCGCGCTCGAAACGTCGTTGGTCTTGCAAAATTGGCTGGGCTTTCGCGAGTTAATCAGCGCACTTCGATGCATCTTAATCAGCGTGTAGGACATTAATCGATTAAAATTTTTCTTGACCAAAGTGATCGGCGAATCGATAATCAAGACTAATCAATAGTCAAACATATTTATTTTCTTTATATTCATTTATCTCTTTATTTTTCTATTTATTTATTGATTTATAAACACAAGAATTTCTTTTGCTTACACGACATCGTATGCTTACATTTGAGTTAACGTGCAAAGTAGAAATGTGAAATGAGGCGAGACTGGACTCGAATAGATCGTAAAGTGAAATAAAAGAAAAGGTAAACAGCGCGGAGCAGATGTACAGGCGTACATCGTTAATAGCTCACACTGAAAGAATATTGAGTAAATTTGTGTGTATATGTACTACATGGTAATATACCATATGCAATCACAAATGTGTAATATAATCGATTGATTAAATTAACTGTTGACTAATGTACACGGAAAAAAGTATATTCTTGTTTGGAGAATATCTTTAATGTTGACATTTTAAAAATAAGATTAATGTTAAGATAACATTATATGATATTGAACGAAAATTTAGCTTTCAATCAAGACAAATATAGTCAAATTAACACAATTATTTTCTCATATATAAGAATATCAACATTGTTGATTGTATATAAGAAAATTATGAGATTGTTGGTTATATATGAGATTATGTTAACTTGGCTATATTTGTCTTGGTTAAAAACTAATTTATCTTCGTTCAACGTCATAATCTCATTTTAACATTAACCTTATTTTAAATATTGACCTTACTTTTAAATATCAGCAACATAGATATTCTCCAAACAAATATATTCTTTTTTCTGTGGTCAATAATAAAGTTCAATCGATAGTTGTTTGATTGATAATGATGAATCGATGAAATTATTTGTGATCTTATACATGACGATTGATACAATTTCGATTGTTGATTTTTACTATTTTGGTCGAGGAAAATTTTTATCATTTTAATGTCCAATACTGATCTTAATCCATCTGCATCAGAAGCGAACTCGTTCATCTATTTATTTTTCTTATTGGAGTGCACGAAAAGATTTTCAAATCGCGTTTTCTTTCTGAGGATGGATTAAATTACAAAAATCTTTTTTTTAATCACACTTGGCGTCGATCTAAAGAAGAAAATATTCAATAATATAATCTTATTTTTCAAATTAGCTAATAATGCAAATGGGTTAATATATTGATTGCCAAACACGACTTGTCTTGCAGCTGGCGTGCGAAAAAAATTCTCTGTATGCCAACTACGAGCCAAGTGGCATAGTTTTCTTTTCTGTGTGTGTGTGCGTGTGTGTGCGTGTGTGAATTTCGCTGAATAAATATAATGAATTAACCGCTCTTAAAGTAATATGCTGGTTTAACGTCGGGAACACAAAGTTCCCTGATGTCACTGCGGCAGTCAACATGTCGATGAAGTCTAAAGTATTGCCGATCAATTTTGTCATCAAATACGCTGATCTCTTCAAACAATCCATTCGGTGATGCGCAAAACATATCTCAGTGAAATTTCCGTGCGGTTCAGTAAGACATACAGTTTGGTTGTAAAAGGACAACATTGTTTCTTCATCGTGCGCGATAATTAATCGTCTTGAAGAAGTTCTCGTGCTGATAATTGAGCGCATAGTGCGCGATCGCTCGCATGTGACCTTCTGGGCGGAAATAATATTATTTCGAAACGTAGGAGAGGAGCCCCGATGTTCCTTGAAACTTCGCGATATGGGTCGCTGATTAACTTACCGCACTTTTGCGTTGGCGAGCAAAGCAAAGCATCGAGACAACGAAATCTCGCACATCCATTCGGCCACATATTCGGCGTGGCAGACTATTTTCGCACTTGTTATTGCACTCTTACGATTCCATTTCTCATTTTGTATAAATTGAGGTGTTATAAGGATGTTCTTCTCTTCCATGAACAATTGAAGGCACGAGGTGAGGCGAAATAAAGGTGAAAATCTGTATATTCGCAGGCACCAACGAGCAACAGTTTCATCGGCCCTAAACCGTTCGGTGGATCGGGCGGCTTCTCGTCGAATCTATCCTCAACCCCGACGTTAAATTCCGGAAGCAACACCTTGCCGCGCCCGCAGAGCCAGACTGTGACAGGTAAGTGAGCATCTCGCACTGTCGAGAACAGGCTCGAAATGTCGATATCAAGGGTCGAGAATTGACGCGAAAGCGCGAGGATGACGAAAACCTTGTTCGACATACGACGCACGAGACGAATGCTCAACGATACCCACATCGCGCGAAATCCGCGCGACATGCATAAATACATTCATTCGGTTCACGTAACGCAAGCATGTAGACACTCATCACGAACATCGAGACAGGAATTACACACGCGACACGCAGTCAATCTCGAGGTATCGAAAATTGCGTCAAGATCCTTACCTCGCAATTCTCACACGGTGAGGTGTTCGAATCGCGAACGACAACGGATACGCCAATTACTCTCTCTTTCTTTCTCTCTGTCGTGTCATCTTGTTTCTTCATATTTTTTTCACCTAAGATTTATCTCAGAATCGCGTCGTGGTTATCCGAAAAGTTGCGAGGGGCGATCTCGCGATCGGCCGGAACTAATCGCGATCTCGTTTCGTGTGTTCTTGGCCTAACTCTGCATTCGATTCTTGCAAATAGGTCGGTACTCTACCCTGCCAAAGCCAAAAAGTTCGCCCTTCAGAGGTACGACGAATAGATTAGAGCCGGTTGACCGAGTTTCGAGCTTTGGCTGATTCGCCTCCCTTGGCTTACGTCCCTCACATTCTATCGCTCTTTCTTCCTCGCACCGCCGTTCATATCGATCGATCGATCGTTGGTTCTCCTTTAATTCGTTAATCGTGATGAACTCTTTTGTATGGAAAAAGAAAGGGAGAATATCGTGGGAGACTCTCTCTTTCTCTCTCTCTCTTTCACTGTCTGTCTCTTCCCCCGAGCGTCATAAAGTTTCATTCTCGGCTCCTTATCGTTCGTCGTTATCTCGACGACGACGGCGAACTCTGAGAGCTATGACAGTTCGTAGCGACCTTCCTACGCACTTTCACCCCCTCCCCCTTTATTCTCTCGTATCTTTAGGAACTCGCGCGATGCGCTCGAAGAATTGCCCGGCCGGCTAGTGTATCTTGAAACATGCTGGGTATGTCGCGAGAAGAAAAGCACTTGGAGCAGAAGTCACTTGTGATAGAGTTAAAGGTCCAATATCCGAAAAGTCAGGCACGATGCACTTATGCATGATAAAGAAATATGGAAAACATATCAACAGCTTCCTTCGTAATTCTTCTTAAATGTCAATCATTTTTATCATTTTATCATTTTCCCTCATACTACAAAAAGGTTTTACTGCTGCTCCCATTGTAGAAATATTACACTGTTATTCAGTAAAGAAATTTTATTTCATTAATTCAGACAAGAGAAAATAATCTGTTTGCGCATCTTTTGTATTTTACATTATATAATTGATATCTACTAGAAAGAGATACCGATACTCCGCAATTCTTCCTAAATTTCAATAATTTTTATCATTTTCTCCTTTACTATAAAAAAAGAAAGTTACACTATTACTTCCATTTTGAAAATTTTGTGCCGTTATTTCTCCAGTCAGGAAGTTTTATCTCGTTAATTCAGGCAAAGGGAAATATTCTGCGTGCGTATCTCTTGCATTTTACATTACACGGCATCTGAAAAATCTATTGGATATATCTATCACAGATGTTAGAATATCTATTATTTTATCTCCACTCGTGGCGGTTCATTTTCTAGACGATGCATAGACCATCGACACGTTCACCCTCGCAAAGTCTCTCGCCTCTACTACCTCTCGTTATCTTCTCTTCCCTGCGCGTATAATCTTTCTTTTATCTTTTTTCAGCCGGTCCGTCTTTCAACCCGAAACCCCGACCTTTCTCCCTTACTTTCGCGTGAATCGATAGCTCTCGATGCCGCCGTCGTCGTCTTCACGCTGGCAACCGAATGGCAAAACACAATCCAGATGACAAAAGCACCAGAAATACATAAAGCGATTTCGCTGTTCACGATTTCTTTCGCGTAGGAAGCTTTTTAGCGCGTCTCGATGATTATAGGTACGCATTCGCCGGAATTTTTTTCCACGGAATGGGATGAAAACGTGTCTACCTTTTTCTTTTCCTTTTTTTTTCTTTCTTTCTTCTAGCCACTCTGACACGTACCTCTAGATCTCTCTTATCGATACGCAATACCGCGGCCGGTAGTGAGTGTTACTTCGCGCTCGGAATTGCTCGTTTGCCTTCTCTCTTCCGAGACACAAGAAAGAAAATCGTGAGTCAGCGTGCGGACACAGTGACACCTCTCTGAGGTGTTGCCCGGTGGCAGTTTGTGTGTAATCGCCATCAGCCCAGAATGTTGGATAAATAAAGTTGGATAAATATACGAAGTGAAGTGCACAGCAACAAGTCCTTCTCTCGTTGTACGAACGCACGTTCTATACTTCCACGCGTGTTTTTGGTGTTTCACATTGCGCTATCCTCTTCTCCGACGCTCTCACCGTAGAGTCGACCATTTAACAGCGGTTTTTCTTCGCTTTCGCATCGGCAGCCCGCCCGGGTGCATCGATGCTAACGCGCACTGCGTCATCGTAGAACCCTTTTGCTACTTACGATCGATTCGCGGTGTCGATACTCATAACAACACGCAGATTCGCAGTTCTACACGCCGCTCTGTCTAGACTGCCGAGAGTGGCTATCGAGAGTGCAGCTGGTAACTTGGATATTAATGAATCAGGAGCCTTCGAATTCTCGCGCAGACTATGAGTTTCTGTAATCTCGCTTCTTTTTTCTTAATTTAGCGCACCGGGTTGTGCTCGTGGTCTCTTTGCGAGCGTTAATGTTCTCCAAATATTTGGTACGTAATAGAGACACTCATAATAGTGCTCTCTTTCTCCGTCTTTATTGTTGACTGAAATGTAAAATATCTCGGAAAATATTCATTTTCCGATAATTTTGCTGCGGCACTTCCCTACGCAGAGTAATCAGAGGAATTGATTTGTGTTAGAAAAACCATATTGATTTGAGGTCAAGTGAATATTACTATCTCCTTTCCTCCTTGAAAAACTATACTGTTTTGTTTGACAAGCTTTTTTCTATGATATCTTGCTTTGGTTTAAGATCTCTTAAATACAGGACTTTATCGTACATATAAAATAACGACACGGGTTCGGGGAAGTATCGAAGAGACCACGAGCGCGCACGGTTCATCGTGCTTCTTACTCACTGCAGTTTTCTGTTTTTTTTTTTTGTTTGTTCTTTCTAACGCATCCCGACAAAACTGCCCGTCACTCACGCTCCCGAACGCATGTATTAATGCACTTTTCGTGTGTCGTGTATCCCCGTGTTCTTTGCCCTGCGATCTTGGCCAACTAACCACCCCACCTCCGTCGGATATCCACTATCTCGTCGCGCCCTTCATTTGGCCGTCCCAGAAACCTCCAGCGAGACTTACGAAAGGTCTTGCTATTGCGAGGTCGTTGAAGACACGAGGGACCAGTCCCGTCCCAGTTCCGTAAAATCCCGGAGTCTCGTGTGGCCACCCCCGAAACCCATCGAGGACATCACCTATCCCACCGCCAGTCCTCTCTACATCAACCCTAACCCCGTCCTCGACAGCAGGTGCCACCAGGCGGTCAGAGAGAAGCGTGCCAGTATCGAGGCTTGCGAGCGAGCTCTGAGCCGGAGAACCGAGAGGCAACGTGAGAGTGTCGATCGGGAAGTCGAGAGGGCGACAAGAGAGTGCACTCGTCAGTACGAAAACTCAGCGATGGAGAGGCTGAGTTGCCCTGGAGCAGTGTACCGGCGCGTCGAGTTAGTGGATACCAACAGGACCGTAACGTCAAGACCTAGCTCGACCGACCCGATTCGCAGGTCACTCACGCCCACCAGAATCGCCCAACCGATCCCGAAACCGTGGACCGCAACCGTCACCAGCGGCGGCACCAACCTGTTCGAGCAGAGCTATGCGCAGCAAGAGCAGCAGCCCAAGGTCTGCAAGAAGTTCATGCAGCGCGAGGTCTGCCATCGGGAACAGATATCGGGCGGTAAAGAGCAACGGGAGGAGCATCGAGCTTACCGAACGGAGATCTGTCGAAGGGAACAAACGATCTGTCCGAAGCCACCGTTACCCACGCGTAGACAAGAACCGGCGGAGACGGTCAATGAAGTCGACACCGAAGTCATCGATCTGAGGGGAGACGAAGCGGACGAGCCAGAGGCCAGCTCGACGGGAATCCAGGGCGAACACGATCTCATCACCGAGACGGCGGAGGAGACCGTCGATGGTATGCGTGTGAAGAAATCGGCGACTTTCGAGAAGACCGTGGAGAAGGTGTCGCCGGAGAGATGCGCTGCGATGGCTCAGGAAACGGACGAAACGGAGTCGGAGTGCTTGACGAGGAGAACTGAGACGCATATCAATCGAGAGGTAGAGAACGTGATGGAGGAACGAACGATGGAGGAGTCCGCTGAGACGGTCACGTCGGCTATTGACACCCAGCAGATGCTGGAGAAGGCAAAGCAGGAAGAGGAAGAGAGGAAGAGAGAAGAGGAGGAGGAGGAGCGCAGAAAGGAAGAAGAAGAAAGGAGGAAGCGCGAGGAAGAGGAAAGAAGACGTCGTGAAGAAGAGGAAAGGAAAAGACAAGAGGAAGAGGAGAAGATTAAAAAGCATGTAACCTTCAACGAGGAGGAAGAAGAGGTCGAAGAGGTGCGGGAACAACCGCTCGGCAGAACGGTCGTTCGAGAGGAACGCATCACCGAGACGGACACTACCCCTGGACGCTGCAAAGTCACGAAAGAGACGTATGAAGAGATCACGGAAGAAGTGTTGGTTCAGGAACGCGTGAGGAGAAAAGGCGTGGGTGATAATGAGCGCAGAAAGAGTCTACGGGAACAGGTGGAAGTCCATCAGAGTCTCAGAGACCAACAAGCGCCGGAGAGACGAGTAATCGCGAGATGCAGCCAGCAACCTCAACAGGAGACCATGGAAACGTGCAAGAAGAAGGTGCAATTCCTGAAGGAGACTGAGACCGGCCCGAAACCTCTATCAGACACGCCCGTGAAGAACTCCACGCCCAAGGAGTGGAAATCCGAGATGGTGAACGCCCTGACGACGGTGTCCGATCGACCCTACACGCCGTTGAACGCTACCACCAGTGTGAAGGAGCTCTACACCGAGGAAACCATCTACTTGGATCACAGATGTCGACCCAAGCCGCCGCCACCCAAGGAAGAGATCCGACCCATTTCGCCTTTCCAACAAGCGCTGATGATAGCGCCTGAGAGATCGTATACTCCTCTGAGTCGGGAAATCGGGCCGCAGGACCAGCAGATCGCAAGTAGATCACAAACTCCGAGCATTCAGACGCAAAATGATTATTGCCCGCCGTTAGACATCTTGTACGGTGACACAAAGGGGGATTCTTTTATGCGAGAACAGGTGTGCGTGAAGGAAGTCAGAGAATATTCTGGACCACAGCCTTTACCTACTCCGCCACCTGATCATCGCTTAAGAGACTCTTCGGCGTCGCCGGCGAGATCTCGACCGCAAACACCCAGCAGCAAATCCTTCACGGCGGGTCTGAAGAAACCAGACACCATACCAGCCTACCAGAGAAACCTGGTGGCGATGAAGAAGGGCCCGGTAGAGGGCCAGCCGTTCGTTCCTAGCAGAACTCCCACCCCGACACCTCATAGATCCAAGTCGCCGGCGCAAGGACCGCCTGAGCCACCTGCTTGCTACGTGAAGGCTCAAGCTCCAAGAATTCGAGAAGACCCACCACCGTCGAAGCGCGGATCGGTTCATTTCCCGTCGCGTAAGACCATCTCCTACCACGTGGAGGAGGACACCGACAGCGGCCACAGGAAACAAGAGTATTCCGCCTCGAGGACCGTCAATTACGACGAAAAGGAAACCAACAGCCTCGACGGAGGTCCAACCGACGCGCGCTACGCCCAGTTCCAAGAGACACGATGCATGACTAGCGAGGAGACCAGCGAGCAACAGAACACCGCGTCCCACGTGAAGAGAGCTCTTCAAGTGGTCGAGGACTATGAGAAATGCGAGCGGAAGGAAGTGATGCCGACGTCACCGTCGCAGAGTCCAAAGAACACCTGCGTCATCAACAAAGTGAGCCACACCAAGCCCACCTTGCCGTGCCCTAAGCCGTCGCGAGCCAGCCCCTCCCCCGTCAGACCGACCTACAGCAGCTCCACGGAAGTGCGCCACGTTCGTTACGAGACACCCTCGCCTAAACCTTGCACAGAAACAGGAGTGACCGTTCTACCTTGCAAAGCCCATTCCGATCGAGGTACAAAGGCTGGAGTCGTCGTGGTGCCTTGCGAAGGCCCACAGACCACTTGCCCGAAATCCGGAGTCTGCGTGATACCCACGAAGGACCGGTCAGGCGTCTGCGTATCACCCTGCTTCGGCATGCGGACCAACACATGCGGCCAGCCGTCTGGCACATGCGGTCGCGACTCCGCCTGCGACTACATACCAGCCAACTGCCCGGACTCCGGCATCTGCGTGGCACCTTGCGCCGACGGTGCTGTCTGCGTGGCACCTTGCAGCAAGCCCGGCCCATCTCCGAGCCAGTTGAGAGCGAACCTCCCTTTCCCCCAAATCCCATTGCCCTACGAGGATCCCGTGTCGTCCCCGTCGCCGGTCCTCCCTCAGTGCTCCCCGAGCTTCAAGCCTCGCACTAATCTGAGCGGCCAGCTGGCGCGACTCACCGCCAAGAGCGGCCCCACCATACAACTTTACAAGCCGCAAGTCCCGGCTGAAGTCCAAGCTCCGACTCAGACCCAGAGCTACACCGAGACCTCTTACTGCCACACCCAGAGCTACCGGGAGACCCACTGTGGCTCCGCCGATCGTTGCCGTAATCAGAACCGCTGTCAGACCCACTGCCAGGACCAGATCCACTGTCCCTCTAGTAAGACCCAGAGTTTAGTAGACCCACCAAATTTGTCGTCCCACCCGGATCTAGGTGCCGGAGTCGGTGGCCTCGGCGGTGCGGGCTCGTCCAAGAGCGGATCGTTCGCCGGTAGCAGCGCGCCCAAACGCGGACGAGGGATCCTCAATCAGGCGGTCGGTGCGGGATCGCGTATACCGATGTGTGCTCACTGCAACTCATACGTCAGGTACTCCCGGGCACGATTGTTCACAAATCGATGACGATGCCTGCGATCTCTGTCGTTTGTTTGCTCTCTTTTCGTTGGATGCGTGTATCTTTCTTTGTTCTTTTCGCTTCTTTTCGTTTCAGCGCACCTAGCGGCTCGCATTAGTACTCACTTGCCTTGGCACGAGTGCGCGCGCGTGTGTATGTCCCTCTTTGTTTGTTTTTTTTCCAGGTGCCACTTTTGTCGTTCTGAATATTCAGACACCGATCGTGATTTATTCGAAGGTTTCGTGTGCTTAAATGGGCTTTCCTTTAAGCGCTAAATTATGCGATATGGCTTATATCAGAATGGCGGCAAACTATCTTTGTCGACGGAATCAATATTACGAAATATAAATTTCCCCATTACATCTTATTTGCCTTTATGAAATAGAGATTGTAATATTTTGTAAATATAGAATTATTTCTTTGAGTATTTCGCAAACGTTTTGCACTGCACTACGATTCAAATATATGTTTAGTGATCGAGAAATCAAGAAAATTGAGATCAAGAGACCAAAAAGTTGTTTGAATGTGTTCTAATCGATCGATTTTACCGCGTGATACTAGATTAGATTCCTGCAACTGGAGAATTTTTTATGTTTTCGCTTATAAAAATAATGCACCCAGGAATTTATTGTATTCGTTTGTATAGATGTTAATGGTAGCCTAACTGTAACCTAATTAACAACTGATTTTCACGGCATGTTGTTGACAGCTAACGAAGAAAACACTAATCACAAGTCGAACGGCTTCACCATTAAGCCAGTGTGCTGTAAAGGCGACAAAGACTGCATAAGGTTCGTACAAAATTCTGCTTCGCGCACGCAGAACGTCCATTATTAACGCCTGCGTTTTTGAAAATATAAAACCTGATCGTTATTTGCTCAATTATTGTTATTCCTTTGTAAGAAAAAAAGAAAGGAGCATATTAACTGATTATGCATTATTCGCAGCTAAGATACAATTTTTTAAGCATTTACATCGAGATTATTTTTATGATCGTTGTAAAATCGCTTGTGTTATCACGCAGAGGACCCTTCATCACCGCTCTGGGCCAGATTTGGTGCCCTGATCACTTCGTTTGCGTCAACTCCCAATGCCGTCGTCCTCTTCAAGACATCGGCTTCGTAGAGGAGAAAGGACAGCTCTACTGCGAGTACTGTTTCGAGAAATTCATCGCGCCCACGTGCAACAAATGCAACAACAAGATCAAGGGCGTAAGTACTGTCGTGCATCGATGATCGCCATCGATGATGATCGCGATGATTTAAAGTTAATTATGCCTTCGATATTCAGGATTGCCTGAACGCGATTGGAAAGCACTTCCACCCTGAATGCTTTAACTGTGCCTATTGCGGCAAACTCTTCGGCAATACTCCGTTCTTCCTGGAGGAAGGATTGCCCTACTGCGAAGCTGGTCAGTATTAGTATGAATTGAAACATTCATAAATAGTAATATTTCTAATTACAGAATGTGTTAATAAAAAAATATATATAAATTGATAAATTCAAATTTCACTGGCCAGAAAGATTCACGTAGAAATCGAGAACGTTTCCTTTTCGCTCTTTTATAACGTAGCCCATCTTCGTTTACCTCGTCGTTCAATTATTCCGAAAGTTAAGTCGTGGTTTCATTCTGAATACAGACTGGAACGAGCTGTTTACCACGAAATGCTTCGCGTGCGGATTCCCAGTCGAGGCTGGTGATCGCTGGGTGGAGGCTCTGAACAACAACTACCACAGCCAGTGCTTCAACTGCACGGTGAGCAAAGAACGAAAACGCCGTTCTTCCACGTTTCTTCCGTTCGTTTTGCACAGAGAACTTCGTAAATCCTATAATTTATGAAGACCTGCTATTTCTCATAAACACAGAATTCTTTTACGATTGGTACTAAACGTTTATGTGACCTTTTTATCGACATGTCAGATGTGCAAGGAGAATCTCGAGGGCCAAAGCTTCTACGCGAAAGGCGGCCGCCCGTTCTGCAAAAAACACGCGCGTTAAGATACGCAGTCTCGAGTGTCGACGGGAGACGACGGGAAGGCAAGAGCGAAAACGAAAATGCGGAGGACGTCCAACGAGGAGAAGAAGCGTACGGTGTTAATGCACGAATTATTTTATCGCGATCACTTTCTTCTTTACTGTATCTCCGGCCGAGAACTTCACTAACCCTTTGTCAAATCCGCGAACGATTCATCATGTAGCAACGAACGATATAAGATCAATCGGGATGATTTTAACAGCGGGGTAATTGCAATGAAAAAAAAAGTAAAATACGGATTAGTTGAAGCGTAATAGCAAGCTATGAAATTGTTGAAGACATAATAAATATTTATTTCTTAATAGTAATATAAAAGTCAGATAAAAATTATATAAAATCATATTAAAAGTCAGATAAATATATTATGTAGAATTAAGGCAAAAGCACGATTATCTAGACACGTATACTTACACTGAGAGAAAAAAATTTGAAAAATAAAAAAATATTTATTCGGTGGGTACTAATAACACATTTGCTTAACTCTAAATTATTTTATTTAAATAGAACAAACAATTGCTTTCATGAAAAGCTAGAATTTTAAAAGATATATATTTTTTTATTTTAAAAATATTTTACATTAGTTTTATATTAAAAATATATTTTATATTTTAATATATGTATATAACTAATTATATGTTATTAATACCCACTGAGTAAATAGTTCTTATTTCTTAAATATTTTTTTCTCTCAGTGTAAACTTAAACATTCTTATTGTTTTAGTCTTTAAACGCGAAATTTTCAACATGGAGAATATATACATTAAATCGTATATATAAGGTGTTCCAGCTCGACTTCACAATTTCTCGTGAAGATGTAGAGCGAATTGAGATGAACAAAAAGTCCAATAAATATAAATGCGTTTTGCCATAATAATCAAAAAATATTAATTGTAAAAGATTTGTGAATGATCATTATATGATAGATGAGTAGTGGCGACGTCTGCCATCGTGTGTGCTTGTATATTAGGTAAAACTGAACAAGAAAGTGTTCTCTATTTCCAAATGATCATGTAGACTTTTAGTTTTCAATTTAAAAAAATTGTTGCATGATTCTACACGATGCAGCAAGACTCTTTAATTAATAACTAAAAATCTACGTGCTCATTTGCAAAATATAGAGAACTTTTTCTATTTAATTTAATCTAATGTACAAATACACGACGTTGTCACTACAGCATGTCTATCGTATCATTATTTACAAATCTGCTTTAATTAATATCTCGATAATTATTGCGAACACTGCAAAACTGTATAGAATTTCTTATGTTCACTTCAATCCATTCTCACGAGAAATTGTGAAATCGATCTGAGACACTTTGTATACGTATATTCTATGTTCTGAAAGTTTAAATATTCGTATTTGAAGATCAAAATAAAAAAGTCAAAAACTAGGCGCACGTGCAAAAACATTAGCATTTTTACTCTATATAAGAATAAAATCTTAAAGGAGAACATCGAGTGTCAAAGGGTATCGCGCAAAGATACTTCTCGAATGTTTCCACAATTAGCCCGATTGATTTTATGCGATGTTCACATTTTTTTGTGGAGATACGGACAATGTCGCGCGTCGTCCAGCTATGAGTTATTGATTAATATTTATTATCTAGCTTTTAATTAAGAGTGTATGGCACAGGAGGCCATCGGTCACCCTCGACCGCGATCCACGTTTTTAACTCTAAAGAGCGCGTTCCACTATTTTCCGTTTCGAATTTCGTAAATTCGCTGATACGTATCAATGTTTTACGCATACAAAAACGAACGGAATCCCTCAACAGAAGGAAACGTTCATTTCGTCGTAATTTCACATCACTCACACTGAGAGAAAAAATATCTAAAAAATAAGAAATAAATTTATTCGGTGGCTACCAACAACATATTAAATTCTTTACTTCTTTACTCAAACAGAATAAACAATTGCTATTACGAAAAAAATAAAGTATTTCAAGAAAATGTATATTTTCTTAATTAAAAAATATTCTATAAGTAAAGTGTATTACTAGCACTCACTGAATAAATATTTTTTATTTCTTAGGTATTTTTCTCTCAGTGTACAATCTGAGAAAACGATACTTGTCGAAATTTATTTGTGGAATATAAAGTTTCTATAAAACGGAGTTTATTTCCGTGAAATTTGCTTCTGCAAATAACGTTTATATCCCACAAATAGATTCTCAGATATTTTTCTCTCAATATACGGCGACCTGCGTTAAAAAACACTCGCGCTCTTTGGAGTTAAACGACTTTTCTCTTTCTTTTGTCGGGACGCATCGTATTCTCGTTATTTCGACGATATTTCATTCGCGAGCGTTCGGTAGTCGTCGTCTCGGATATCGTGCGTCGAGCGACGTCGACCGTCGCGACGGAGCAGCGCGATTAATTAACGTCGGGACGTTCGACGACGACGACATACCCCCTGCACTTTGCGGTTCCCGCTTAATGGCAGTCTGATCGCGATCCTCGCGGGGTTGGCGAATACCTCGCGAAATCGCTCGCGGCAGGAAACCCCCGTAATAACGACACACAACGAACACTACGACGGAGTCGTCGCGATCGGAATCACGCAAAGGTCACCTGAGCAATTAGTATATTACGTGGGCTATTCGCATATTTCTACGTGCTTTCAAGGTGCATCGGGATGCAGCACGTGTCGCAAGAATCCCGAGAACGGCGTTCCGGTTTTGGGTGATCGGTGATCGACGGTGCGTTGCGGCGAGAAAGAGAGAATAAGGTCCATATTAATAGTTGTTACCTGAAACTTATTCAATCCAATTGTTACTTGTTTCAATTCAAAAAGTACAGGTCTCCACAGGACATCCTAAAGACGTTCTAAGAACGTCTCTACGTCCTAAGAACGTTCCCTTGAGATCTTGTGCTATCTGGGAAGTGAGTTTTTCAGTGGAATAACGATCGTACAGTAAGAGCGATCTGTCAAGTAAGAGCGTGGTCGGGTTAAATTATAAAAAAAATTAGTAAACAAAATTTTCAAATACATATATGCATTGTACTCAATCAGAACAAAGATGCAATTATGTTAATAATGCGTCCAATCACCACTGGCGTCGATAATTGCACTGAGGGAAAAATATAGTTGCTTTCGATATCAACTATACATTTTTGTGATTTTAACCAGAAAAATAATTAGAAGAACTTTCTAAACACTTACTAAAACAATGGTTTTTCTAACTATATTTTCTAACCGTATTTTTGTGGTTAAAACCACAAAAGAGTATAGTTGCCAAAAGCAACTATATTTTTCTCTCAGTGTGCCTGGCATCTTCGAGGCATGCTTTCGACCAAATTTGCCTATCGAGCCACGGTCCGGTAAATCATCGACATTTTTTTGCCATTGTATCGATGCACCCACTTCTGTACGAATGCTTTTGTCTGTCTCATATATTTATAGCAGCCACTGAGTGCGACATTTTCAGATCTTTCGAGTGGGTGCAAAGGACTATAGCCTCGTAGCGCGACGCGTTACTATTTGACATTCATGGCGCTCACGTGTTTCTCTTACAAAAAATCAACGACAACTTGATTTTTCTTGGCAGTGCATCAAGGACAAAGATTCCCTTTATCGACTCACGACAGATTTAGGGCGATACCTTTTATCAGTTGTGAATAAGGCCGCCCACGATTTTACTTGACAGATTGTAAACGTAATGTCGTATATATCGTACGATTTACTAACTAATTTAGACCTAATTCTGAAGTAAAATCTGAACATTTCACGTGAGACAAGTTTCAAGTAACGACTATTAATACATGCCCAAGAGAGCGTGACGGATGGATGGATGGACGAATGGATGGACGCGAGAATGAGATCGGGAGGAAAGTACGAACAGCGTGTGAATGTGCCGAAAGCGTGAAGCGAGAATTGTGTGTAGTTCGCGTGGTCTCTCCGGACAATCAAAATTATGCGCAGTTGCAGAGTCATAGTGAGCAGTACAGGGTTAAGGAATTATTTTCACTTGATCTGTATGCCTCTAAGGGAGATTGTCCACTTTACTGAAACATCCTATAATTGATATACATAAAATTATATATATTCTTCACGAGTATAATCAAATATCATTAAAATTCGGTCAATATAACTGAAGGCAATTAACTGGACGGGAATCTCCTATAGAGATCTTTCTATCCCTACAATTGAGTTTCTTGTCTGGGCTCCTACATTGAGAAAAATCTCTGGTAATAATTATCCAGCCTGTGTTATAATTATTACATTTAGTGAAATAGTATCAACTAAATATAAGAGGTGGATATTACTATATGAAAGTTAATGTTACTAACAATTTTGTAATTATTACTAAACATTGGTAACATTTACCATTATTGATTACTATTTACTAAATGGTATAATAAAACGCATTTGGTAAGTATTACCAAACTTTTTTTTTTCAGTGTATTCTTCCCAGGCAACGGGAGTTTCAGTTACACCGATAGAATTGTTTTTCCCCATGCGCTGAGATGACAAACGTCGCGCAGTGAGGTTCGCTCCAAAATATACTAGTCAGATGCTCGAAAAGATAATAATCCGATGCTCCTGTTTTTTCATGTTACGAATGTCATTCGCATTGATAGCGACGAAGTATTGCTTAATTTATAACTGGAAGGGAGAAATGCGCGAGTATGGGCAGCAAGTGATTTTCTATTAATTTATGAGAGCCGACATTCTGTGCACGATTCTTAGATGCAAGCTAACGAGTATATTCGTCGAAGATACTTAATAGCTGTACTAAATCGACGGGCAGACATATATTCTTAGTGCATGCAAACTTTGCCGTAAGTCATCCGCGAGTTCGCCGTACCCTGAAATCGGCCGATTAAAGCCGAGACTGATAACAGGTTCAGCATGTATCGGGCTTTTATTTAATCAGTCGGATCGATTTGCCAGTTGCGAAGAAACGAAAGGCTGAAATTCGCACGGTAGCAATGTCCCAATGTCGTGATCGCCAAGAAGAATTCTCAAGTCCCCGAATGCCCGACTCTTTAGATTTCCATGTCAATCTTTTATCACGAATCTTGGAAAGATCTTGTGAAAACTACACGTCGAAATCGCCACTGCTACTGCATGCTGCCAAAACTGCACGGGAAAAGAAACTCGGTTTGTGCAATTCAATTTCAACTCTTCGTTTGATCCCCAAGAAAATAAAACAATTTTAATCTCCAGGGTACAGAAAAATCCTTAAGCAACAGAAATTCAATTACACGAGTCAAATTTCTTTTCTGCGCACTGACTAGGAAATATTTGAAAATTTATTTGTGTGTGAGATAAAGATTTGTTTCACAAATATAAATTTTATTTTACAC